TCAAATGGGAATTGCTTGTACCTTGAAAATAGACAAAAGGCTCCAGAAGTACCTTTCTTACAATTCTATTGATGCTTGGATGTCTGAATAGTGGACAAACTGGTAGATTCAAGCTTGCTTTTCTAACCATTTGCATTTTAAGTGGAGCATTATATCGACATTTCATGACTGTTTAATAATTCTGGGGTGTCTTATGTCATTGTACTTAATTTTGTTGCTGGAGTGAAGGATAAATTGTCGGGCTCTGATATAAAGCTGTTTGTTGTGGCCTTTAGCAGGAACCTGAGGAGCAAGTAACTGGAATATAGTTGTAGACTGAAGCAGTTATTATTCGGTTTTATTAGCGCTGCACCGTAATCTAATTTTGTTTTCAAGAAGTGTTTAAAAGCTGTGCTTCACTGGGGTCAGTTCAGTGTGAATTCAGAAAGTAGGATCTTGCAACGATGATCCACAGGGACAATTTGGAAAGATCAAGGCTTGAAATCCCTGAGCAGCGCCTGAAATGTTCATCCCCGTAAGTGCCTGCAGTGGGTTTGCTACACAAGCACGTTCCCAGCCTGGCTTTTCATCAAGTGTTCCCATAGCAAAATCCTGCAATAACGGGGCGCGACAGAGTCCCTGTTGGTCACATTAATTTTAAGTTGTCATCAGAGGGGAGGTGGCTGGAGAAGAGGGGCCGGAGGAAAGGGCAGCAGCCATGGACGGGCCCTTGGGTGGGATTTGTGGGGGTGAGGTGTGTACACTGCAAAGCAGTGTGCTTGGATGAGGATCTGATTAATAATTAATGAGCTGTCATTTACACAGCAAGAAGGTGGGCTCTCCTGAAATAAATCAGGCACAGCTCCCTGGAAGCGTAACGCCCGATGAGAATGCAGCGTGTGGCTCAGGCCTCCTGCCTCCAGAAATCACCCGATGGACCCGCCGAGGCTGCTTCTCCTCCCCGCGCCAAATGCAGGGCTTGGATTGCAATTGTTAACACTAATTAGTGCGGAGGTGATTGGGGTGCCACCCCGTCAGGCCCCTCCTGTGCTCCGACGTCGCGGCGGGAGGCTGTGCAGCATGGGCGGCTCTTCCCCGCTACCGCACGTACGGCGGGAGCAGGTTGATTAATGTGCCCAATAGAAATAAAACAAATGGAAATTTTTTTTAGATTATACAGTACACTCATAAATATTAATGCGCTTTTAGTATTGAATTGCGTGTAATTACATATTTATACATTTAAGTCACCTTCGTGATACACTTAAGGCACTTTACTGATGAAAGATATCTCTGAAAGAGATGGTTTTAAACCATGCCTAATATGTTTGTAGGATTTATTTAATAATGTGTGGGCTTGTATGCTGGCAGGAGAGGAGAAAAACCTCCATTAAAGTCTGAATGTGTTGTTCACAGGGTCTGCTACTTAGTTTGAATCGACTCCATGGGTAGCTGCTGAAAAATACGTCTCGACATGAAATATTACTACATCTCCTTATCTATGTAGATAAGGTCTGTGCAGTCCTGTCACCTTAGAGTAATTACAGCTTATTACTCTAATCATGATGATGCCTGAAGTCTGTAATTAAGATTGTGCTGGCTAATGTACTAGCACACGGCGTGGTACAGCTATTGTCCTATCTAAACAACAGAAAGATAAAAATTGGAAGAGGGAGAAAGGGCAGAAAGTGGGGCAGTGATTGATGCAGGGCCATGGTTTCCAGCCAGGCGCTGCCCCTGCCGAGCCCAGTGGCTTCTCAGAGGGCAGGATCCGTGTGCTGCTGGTCCCACCGTGTGTCCACAACAACCCACGGTGTGTGCACCCTCCAACACGACCATCGAGACCCCGGTGATCTCTATTCAAGTATTCAACCCAGTTTTAATACATCCTGTCCGCTTGCGTCTAAGCTTTTCTTTTTTTAACGTGTCCTGTTTGCACTCCGGTCTGCAGATGAAGAATTTAGTATATATTTCTATATACATATATAATTTAAGGCCAAATTGTGTATCTGTTGAAAGCAATGAGAGGTTCTACCATACAATTCAATAATGCAGGGGTTTGATCCACAGCACTCTGTAATTTTCTCTGCAGTGATGTCAGCTGGTGAAAAGCAGACGGCTCTTCTGGAGGAACGTGGTTGTCTAAACACCAATCTTTATGTCTAAATTTCATACTAAGCTCACCCACCAAACTGGATTTAAGGCCCACTTTCACAATTTAGAGAATATGAAGCTCCCTTTCCTCTCTTTGGTTGTGAGCAGGAGGCACCTTATTTTTGGAGATTTCTACAAATTTTTCCTTCTGTCTTGGAAGACACATTTTCATAGGGTTTGCAGAAGGCTTTGTGAAGCTGCAGCTCATCTTTCCTGTAGGTGCATGTGCAGATTCTTTCATCCTAATTCTGACATGAGCTAAACTTTGCTTTAGGTGCATCTTGACAACTTATGAAACCTTATGCAGTTGGCTAGAACATGAGCTTCTCATGGAGGAGGTTATCCCAGAAATGCCCGTAGTGATCTGCAAAATGTGACCCCTCTTACACCCTGCTTAAAGCTAATGAGGGCTAGTAATTTCTTGATGGCACTGCTAGCCCCATTAGACATTTTATAAATTTCTGGAAGCCTGCTACTGTTTCATTTACATCCCTAGCTGGAAAAAAAAAAAATTAAAAAAAATCTCACGAAAGCTATTTAGTCATTAGGAGAATATTTTTTTCTCCATAAAGTTTCCCTTTCTTCCCTTCTTCAACCTTTCACATTTAGAGTGAATCCTCTTAATAGCATTTCTCTCTACAATTATGGGCTCTGTGTTTTAACAGAAGTCCTGTGCTGGTATAATGTGCTATTCATAAAGCACTGGGGCTTTCTGATACAGATCTGAAAAAATAAAGATTTATGTTTGTCATTAGCAGCGCGATGATACTTATCTTAAGGCATAAATCTGTTCTGTGATAAAATATCTCGCTGTTTCAATGGAGTGCATTGAACAAGTTGTAATTCTGGTGCTGTTGAAGGTGCTCGGTGGGTTTCCCAGTTTAATTTGCTTGGTTTTCTAGTTTAATTAACAAAGTGTAGCTGAGTGTGGGCATGGCAGTGCGAGGCGCTCTGCCTTTGTTATCCAAGAGGTCAACAGGTATTTGTAGTTGCCGTAGTTGATGTTTTATGAAGCTATTGATGGTGAGAATTGGTGAAATAGTAACCTTAATATATAACACCTGAGAATTTGCCATCACACCTTTGTGGCATATATCTAAACCTAAAACCTTCCTGGGAAAGGAGACGGAAGCTGTGCTCAGAGAAGTCATTCTTCTTCCTTTATTTCCCCCTGGGCTTGCTCTGCCGCATCTCTCGGCTGCTGAATGGGGCTTTTCACTCAAAGCAGGTGATGATGATCAGTGCTACTACTGACTCCTTTTTTAAGAGCTGGAGTTTAATAGCAGAGAAGAGAGACATGACATTCCTAAAATACTGATCCTGCTTTATAACTAAGGGTGCTAAAGATTTTTTTTCATGAGCTTGGACAAAGCTTCTAACTTTTCTGGTAAGAGTACCACTATGGGGAGAAAAGATTAGGGTATTTCCTGTGGTTTCTTGGGTGAAGAAAAGGCAGAAAATGTGTTTTACAGTGTTTCCATACTACCTTCTTTAACACATGTAAAATTATTCTTTTTACCAAATATAAAATTGGAACACTGACTGCCTTCAATTTAATTAATGTTCTCATTGGTTTTGAGTTATGAATTTTGTGAAGCTCTTGTGTTTTAAATAGGCATTTAGGGAGCATTCTTTAATTAAAGCCAAAATGATTTTTGCCTTTAGGCATGGCTTTTTTTGCATTAAAAGGTGGCATAATTTGAATTATATTCTCCTGAATCCTGAGGCCCTTTTTGTGACACAGGGGCCAGCAGCCCAATTTCTTTCCTGCTGTCAGTTATAATATTGAGTGACAATAAACAGAAGCACGAAGGCTCACAAGATCATAGAGTGCTTGCTGGTAGGGCAGGGTGAGCTTTTGGTTTAGAGGCATGTTAGTAGAGTATGCTTGAAGTGTGAGCCTGTTTAAGGAATATGCCACTTCTATGGCAGTACTGTGCTCCTACATATGGACTTACTGCAGTAGGTGTGACTTGGCAAATTGCATTTATTAGTTGCATAATATGCATTGTCGTTTACATCTTCCCATTAGCTTCTAATTCTTCTCTCCCGCTGACCCTCCAGCCTCCTCTTCCTCTTCCTTTAATATTGTGTTATTGGAGAATTTTCTTTCAAGTAACATTTATTTGAAAGAAAACTATGACATATGTGTGTTTTAGGTTGTCAGTAAGAAAATACAGTAGCCGTAGGCTAAGTGACAAAACTCATGTTTATGTTACAGGGCTTGAGTGTTTTTTTATAGACAGGCATTGATTCTGGGGTTTAAGGAAGGGTCAGTAACAAAATTTTCAAATACAAGCTGTTTTTTGGGCTGTTTTTCCTATGTTTTGCACTTTCACCACCACCCCCCTGAGATTTGGAAATCTTCTGCTTAGATCAGGCCTGAGGGAAACATCCATGGAAGTCAATTGAGATTCATTGGCTTTAATTGGATTTAGGTCAGCTCTTGCCTTGTCCTGTCACATAGAAGAAATAATACAAATAAATGTGAAAAGCCAAGCCTTGTTTAAATCAAAGACGATTGTTAATTTAAACATTAGAAATATATGCTGTCTTCTGAATGCGTGCTCACTTGATGTATGAGATGTGGCTGGGGGTTATGAGGTTGATGGTATGAATTTTAAGGGGGTGCGTGTCTGCTTCAGTGCATTCTCTTCATCCTGCAGATTTTATTTTGTGTTTGCTTATCCTTTGATGAAGTGGACACCAGTGAAGACTGCCTTGTCCTGTTCTGGTGACTGTAGCATTGCCTCAAGATGCTTTGCTGGTCACCTAGAGTGGCTGCTGGAAGATGCCAACCAAATCAGAGCTGTATCTTAACCACTGTGTTTTTCTTCTCTTCCTTCCCCCTGTCCCTCCCTCTGCAGAAGGACGTAGCTCTGAAACCTCAGGAACGCGTGGAGAAGCGACAGAATCCTCTAGCCAAGAAGAAACGGGAAGCACTTACCAATGGGCTGTCCTACCTTCCGAAGAAGAACAGGCTTCACCACCACCAGTACAGCTCCGACCGAGAAAATGATCGTAACCTTTGCCAGCACCTTGGGAAAAGGAAGAAACTACCGAAGGGCCTCAGACAGGTGGGAGATGAGTTTCCTGCTGCGAGGAGGGGGTGCTTTGCCTGGTGGCACTTGGGATGTAGAAGCCCATTTCTCCTTTTTTTGGCATGACTTATTTTAACCCCTTCATAGTCATTTTGGTCTTGGGCTCTTGGGTGCCACGTGGTACCACGTCCTAGTCCTAGAAGAGATGAGTGGGAAAGCAAGTGGTGTATTGGTGCTAGAGCTGAGCTGATTGATAAATGTGTAGAGGTTGGAAGAGCATCCCATAGGCTGGCTGTGAGGCTGTCAGGGCAAACAAATGCGGTCTCTCTATTACGTTGTTAGGCCAACTTTGTGCTATAAATATGCCTTCTTGTCTTTAAGCTTGGTACATGGAAGCATGAGACTCCCTTGAACATCAAGGGCAAGGTGAGGTAATTGCCAGAGCGGCAGCTGTTAATCAAGACAAAGCTCTAAGACTGATTACTTGCGAGGAGCTCATTTGTAGGATGTCAGGGATAGTGGTGTGTGCTCTTTTGGGTAACTAATCACCTACTCCTTAGCCAGAACTTCCTGTCTTCCCAGCGCTGGTGTTCCCTTGCTGCTGTGACACAAGGGAGCAGAGGGTGTCCAGGGTGACTCAGCTTGGGGCTGGAAATCCTGGACCCTGGTTCAGGACGGTGCAGTGTAGTGGTTCTTGATTTTAAAAAAGAAGAACGTGTGACAAGTGTGGTTTCTCTGGTGAGCAGGATGCAGGGGGGGGGGGGAAGCTATGTTTTACTTTTTTTGAAATAAATATCCCTTGTGTGTTTGATATATATAAAAGACTAAATTAGAGCTGGGCATTTTAAGTAGAGCATGTGCCTGTATGGTCATTTGACTCATTGTCTGCAAAACTGAAATCTAATGTAACAGTAAAGGGGTCAGTTTTGACCTAAATCTGAGTGATATTAATGACTCCTTAATCAAAATTTGTGTGTCTAATAGAGATGGTTGATACTCATTGAATCAGTCTTCATCCTTCTTTGGTGCAAACTAGACATTGTTTTGCAGAGAAACTTTTAGAAAATAGTGAGAATTCACTGCTTCTCATTTTGTGAGCTCAGGGAAATGGAAGGAACATTGAGGACAACAAGTACATTGACTTGTACTCAATTTGATATTCAGAGTTGCAGAAGCTGGTAAAAAGTATGTTTTCATGATTATTTTTAAGCCTACACTGTATTTAGAAATAAAATAAGAGATTATACAGTGCTTCAGCAAAGCAAACAAATTGTAAAATGCGTATTCCACGCTACCACACCGATTAATGGTATTTCTTCTAATTTAATTTTACTTTGTGTTTCTAAGAAAAGTGGGGAAACTCTTCAGGAGAGCTGATGTGATGGTTGTAGGTGGATGTTGAGGGCTGCTGTGTTTCCTTGGCTGTTTTCTGTGTTCACCTGTGTGGTCTTCACTCTGTTCCCTTTTAAGATGTCAAACGGTAAATGTATCTGCTTTGTGTGGCACGAACTGCCCTTCATAAAAGCTGACTTTTTGCACTATTTGAGTCCCCTGGCACAGCCTACTGTCAGGTGAAACCCTTCCACCCACTACTTAAGCTACGAAGGAATCGGCCTCGCTGCTGATGGAGGTTATTTGTGAGGTTATTTGTGAGGTTATGTTTTTAGGAATAAATATACACTGGCTTGGAAGGTATTGAGTTGACAAATGTCATGGAAAATGGTTTTCCTTTCAGCTGATAAATCTGAGTACTCTGCTTAATTCCTGAGGGATAAGGCTGAGAGGAAATAAAATATCTTGCTCAATATAAATTTAATACATTTGGTAGGGGTATAGCTCCTTAGATAAGAACATTTTAGTCTCATGAACAGTTTAGGTGCTGACAAATCCAAGTGGCTTTGGCACTTAGACGTGGAAAAAAGATGTCATGGAAAAGGCTATAAAGCTTATTTGAAAAGACATGCCCGCGACCTTTATATATAGCATTTCTGGTAAGCATTTTCTGTCTTCTTTCAAGACAAATAGTGAAGACCTCCAAAAAAGGAGGAGAATTATAAATTCTGAGGATGGTTTTCTCTGATCATGCAGCACTATTTCTCCTAGAGTGACCCTTGGCTGCACGCTTTGGGTTTGTTTCCCCACCCAGCTCCATCCCACTGAATTCCTGGGCTCTCGGTGGGAAGTAAAGTTTCTTGTCAACCTTTGGAGATGACAACAAGCCAAGACCCAGGGCCGCTGTGTTTTGTGCGTGGCAAAGCAGGAGGGTCCAAAGCCAATTAAAATTCACGATGCTTCTGGATATATGTGGTGTCCTTGCTATATTAGAGCTATATATTTTATACATAAACAATGCATCTTGCCCCTGTTATCCTTAAAGGAATCTTGACTTGTCACATGGGAATATTGCAGTTGGGTGGCAGGATGCAATCTTGGTACTGTCACTTGCCTCCCCGTGCTGGCCCAAGCCCTTGGCTGCCCTCTGTCCTTCTTGGGAAATGTTTTATACCTGGAGATCTGTCCGTTGTGTTAGCAGTAGTTACCAGGCCTGTCTGATACACCTTTCTGTGAGATCTGTTATCTGCTGGAAGTAGCTCTCTCGCAGGATTTATGGTATGAAGCTCCCTCGTCAAACAGATTTAGTTGAAGTCAGCTATTGGAAGGACTGCTAATTAGTTTTCAGAGCAAATCCTTGCAGTATTCATGCAGGTATTTATCCAGCTATACTTAAATGCCTACAGGTTTATTGAAATCCAGAAAATGTGAAACTGTAGGTTAATTAAGGCTCATATTTTACTAGCGAGAAGACTTTTGAACTCTGCTTTGTGAGCTTTTATAAATGTACTTATTAAATGCCTCAAGGAAATTTTAGTTGGCGTTAAGCAAACACAAGACTCATCAGAATATTTCTCCAGCGTTTTAAATTTAATTTCCTTTACGTTAATTGGTGATGGTGTGTTTTTATGTGTTTTCTGTAAAAATCCTTTGGAAATCTTAAAGTGAATGTTTTAAACTAGTAAAAGGGTGGCAAAAATTTTTAAATAGTGTTTAATGAGGTTTTTTTCCTCGAGGTTTCAGTGGGGCATATCAGGAAAGAATGAGTTTTCTTTGCAGGAGGGTTGTTGACTGTATTTTGATAGTGAGAGGGAAGGATTGTTTCTCTTTTTTCAGTGGGTGTGTTTTGGAAAGAGCAGAGGAGGTTGACTTTTGCTACCTCTACCATTTCCTTCATTGTTTTCTTTATCTGTTGGGAGATTCGTAGGCCTTCTTGCAGAAGAGGATTGTCTTTGGCATGTGCTCCTAAACCTGCAATCTGTGTGCTGGGCAAGTGGCACCTTAGCTGGTGTAGGTATGGTCAAGAGCCAACTGCTGCTGGGCTCTGCCTTAACCTGTGGATTCCAAAGACGCTTGCAGAATATCAAATCCCAGTCCCAGATATCCCTGAGTGCAAAAAAGGAGACAAATTGGTAATAAATATGGGGCAGATGATGAACAAAGGGAAGAAAACGCATGATGGAGAAATGAATTAGGAGGTAAATTTTATTGAGATAAAGGAAAAATGAGAAGAACAGCAAAAAAAGATACACTGCTGACTCTGGCAGTCGTCAACTACAAGCATTATAAACGATTAGCTTTAACCTTGTAGTCCATTATGTGAATCAATTAAAGGGGAGGGAGGGAAGTACTGAAGCTTTTCCTTCTCAGAATGAAGTCCACGATCCCCTTGGCAGTCTCACCCTCAATCTATACATCTTAAATTTGAGGCTGCTGAGGCTTTCGATGGCGGATCTGGATGGCCAGTGTCCTCCCCTGTCACCATCGCTTGCGAGCATCACGTCGTTAGTTGTGTCACAGCTTTAGTTCTTGCACACGTGTCCCCAGGTGCAGAGGTGCTTCAGGGCAGCAAACTTCTGGTGCGAGGGTGAAATAACTGTTGTGTGAGCTGTGTGTGATCACGCTTACAGCCAGGATGGCTTTTGCAGGCTCCTGGAGGAGGCTGCACGTGGCAGGTAAGGCGAGCGGAGCAGGAGGGGGGTGGCTGCTGTGGGGTTTGTGGTGACACTGGTCGGGGAGCCCAGCAGATGGGTTTGATTGTCACCGGCAGCGCCGCTCCAGCGAGAGCTGACTGTGGTGACAAGCCATTTACAATGTGCTATTTACAGTTTGGGTTTGCAGTCTCTCAATGACATCTGAGTGCTCTTTAGCAACTGCTTTCATTACTGCTTTTCTAAGAGCTGTTAATTGAAAATGAAATTGTGGGTGGGCTTTGGGAGCGCAATAGCAGCTACAAGTATTATACGCAACCACGGAGAACTGCTTCAGTTCTTTGACTCCCAACTCGTAGAGCTGTGCAGCAGCAAGGGAAAAAGGGGGGAGATATTTGTGCAGTGTGAGGTCAGGCACCTCGGAAATACCACACACAACCCGCATGCACCCAAAATGGGTGATAAAGGCTTCAGTCCCCTTTTACGTAGTTGCTGGGATTTGGGATTACTTTACTGGCAGCCAGTGGATTTCAGCGACTGTAAAACTGGCTCAGGAAGGAACCTGGGTGGTGAGAAGAGCTCAGGCAGGGCAATGGGGGGGTTGCAAGCCCTGCTGGCTGCCCTGGGCTGGGTTTGCAGTGCGGGAGGTCTGGCTCTGCACGGCTGAGGTTAAAGGAAACATCGCTACGGACTCACAGAGTGGGGACAGACTTGATGGAACCATAGCATGGCTGGGTTGGAAGGGACCTTTCAGATCATAGAGTCCAACCATCAACCCGACACTGACAAAGCCCATCACCAAACCATATCTCTACACACTACGTCTACCCATCTTTTAAATACCTCCAGGAATGGTGAACTTGGGTGCCTTAGGAGTGGTACCGGCGAGGCCTCAGTGGCCATACTGCCATGCAGTGCTGGAACTGAGAGGCTATTTGTAAAGAGAGAGGTTTTATTTTATTTTTTTCTTTTTTCTATTCCAAAATACTAGCACAACCACTCTGAAATTACTAGCTTTGCTGTTTGTTGCAGCCTCCCCAGCATGGTTTGATT